TATCAAATAAGCACTTAATAAAAGAATTCAAAGTAGAGGAATCTTAATGTTTTTAGAAAATAGCCATAGCATCATGTAAAGTTTTTCAATGATGAAATGATTCAGACTCCTGTTCCACTCTGTAACTTTGGTGGTTTTCTTATAGGTGAAATTCTGTCATCATTTAGCCATATAAAGGCCAACAACAAGAACTTAACCATTTATATCACTTCGACCAATTCAGCAATCAGCAGTACTACTCTAGTGAAAATGTCCCATCCATTATCAGGCAAGAAATCTGAACCTCAATATAATTACACTCTACTTTTCATCATAAAAACTCGAATACGGTGAAAAGTTACTTTACCACTGGCCGGACCATCTGCTTTCTGACATTTATTAATGCTGCTTGCTTGTGTGCTCCTTCCAATGGCCAGCTCAGCCGCCCTTTCAATTCCTTTGGACTGGTATGGAGCTATATTGTGAATAGTGAATTGAAGCGAACCCAACAAGTCATTCTCAATGCATTCATACCTGGAAGATCAAAAGGCTACAAGCTTTCATCATTTGTAGGATAAGATTTAGGCTTCTTGATAACATGACTCACATTTTTTTACAAAGGTCATCAGTGATCACTGTAAGATTGATGACTTGCATCCTAACTTGCATGACCTGTTCCTCAGGATACTCATCAAATGGCTCCTCAAGAAATTTAGAGAGTTTCTCAACATTAGACTCGAGCTGCTGCTGCTGATCCTCAAATAAATGCTGTTTAATTTCCCTTTCCCTTTCCGTCATCTCATCCTTGAAAAAGTCATCACCAAACATGTAGAATGCAAATGGGTATGAATATGAAAGAGCTCGCCTTGATCTAAAAAGCCTGCAAAGTCCGTTTGTAATCCAGCTGAAATCTCTCCATTTTGAATCCGTGGCTTCCAAATTTGACACCTTCTCCTTTACAGTCTCCCTTAGTCTAGATTCTTGTTTAAAGGAATCAGTATGAGCCTTATAACGATTGTGATAGTGCATGTATCTATAAAGGTCTCGCTTGGCACGCTCGGCCATTTTCTCGCTGTCTTCTTTATAGCGACCACAGCTGTGATTAGTAATATTTGACCAGGTATGGTTTCGGCCAGTAGCTCCACCACAAAGCCAACTACAGCAGGAAAATAAAATGGTAAGAATGATAATAAACTTTAAAATTAGTGAATCTGTGATGGGAAAGATAAATATGGACAACAAAGAGTCAATGCTACAAAAAAAAATGTTGACAACATGACACCGGAATTGTACATAAGAACGGTGGTGAATAGGGAGAGTATTGTAAGAGTTTATACAATAGCAAAATTGACGAAACAAATTTAGAGAAGAAGAAAAAACAAGTCAAAAAAAGAACATTGGCTAATTCTGTGCTCCAACTAGAAGATCAGAGCGATAGTTTCCTATTCCGTATATCAAATTAAAAAAGCTACAAAAATGCACTATCACCAAAGTGTATACAACAAACACCCCAGTCGCCAATGAGTTTCAGAAAAACACCCTTCCCCCTCATACATACACCTATCATGAGACTGAATATAGATTAAATGACAAAAATGCCCAGTGGATAAGAATGTTAGTTCCATTTGTCACTCTTCATCTCTGTCAAGCAGTAGCACCAACAAGAGAGGCAGGTGATTCCACCAAAGGGGGCGGGGAAAAGCCATATCGAAATAAATGTCCCCCACACCACCTAGACAAAATTTTTTTATAATAAATTCTATAGGAGCACTCCTAATTCAATACCCATCTCCCTAGGTACAAATCCGGGTTCTGCCCGTGGCCAACGAAGCTTTTTTCATCAAAGCAAGCTATGTGCTCCGAGCAATCAGAGGAAGCACCCTAATAGAGAGCGCTTGCAGCAATTAGGATTTCATTTCATAAGCAACATGATCACCTTACAAATTATACTAACAGCATAACTCTATTATCCAAAAAAAGGAATATGTAGGCTTCGTGGATAATTTAGGTTGTCAAAATAAAACCAGAGACAAAATCTAATTAAAGTAGAAGATCCAATGGTAAGAAGCCATCATATATTGCACAAATAAGAAAGTTTCGAGAAACTTCTCTTACCAAAATGCTTGCCCACATATGCAACTGACTAAATTACAACCACCATTCTTCTCAACAGGTTTGTGACACTTAGGACAAGGCTTTGTATGTACAGTCATCCAATTAACAGTCTCTGATTCATCGCGGCATTTCTTCGTCCACAATTCCCACATCACGCATGAACAGGGTGAATGTGTTTCTGATAAGCAACTGAAACAGAACTGTAAACCACACAAGCATTCTACCTCGCAAAATTCATCATTTTCAACACGTATGGCATTCCCACAATGAGGTACACTGGGACACCACTTAACCATTTTGTTGTCTTCAATGTATGACTCAAGAAGAAATCGGTCAAATTTCTCTGCTAAATCTGGGCGCTTTTCACTCACTAGCTTTCTGACGATAGCTTCATCACAGATATCATTGCATTTGTGGGCCATGCATCTGATCCGCTTGCTTTGGCCTTCATTTATTTTGACTATGAAATGCTCTGTCCAACCTTTAAA